TTTATAATTAATTAAGAATAAATCCGATTGACTTGAACTCACATAGATAAAAGAACTCGAGAAAGTTTCTCCTCGGAACAAAGTTAGTTTAGCTCGTTTTAAATAATTGTTCTCGTGAAGACAGTGTCGTCTGACTAACGTTAGTTTCAATAGAACAGAAAGATTCGGTCAATAGTTGAAGGAGCTTGATTGGCTTCCAGTAGCAATAATGGATTTTTGAAAATCTATTCTACAGAAAATAATTAGATCTATCTGTCTGTGAAATGCTGCTTGATGCTAGGTAAAAAAATGAGTGAGACATATCAGAAATACGACAAAATTCTCAATATCTAATTATGATTACCGCAGGCTACCGAATTTAATTTTTTGGTTGCTACATGTTTGTCTATATTACATGAACTAAGTTATCAGTTTCTAAAAGTACACACAATCAAATAAGAAGAGGAAAAATAATGTTGAATAAAAAAATTGATTTATGTTACAAAAAGTTGTATGTCATGTCGTTTTCGCATATACGCATATTTTATATCAGATATAAACGTTCTAAATGTGACATTAATATTCTTATCTGCATGCATATTTCTAGTTTTTCTGATTAACTGATATATCGAATTGATGATTTTCAACACGAAAACGATGTTTATTTTCAAGGATAAATAATGATGTTTAATATCATATTGAAAATATAGGTAGAAAATCTAAACACATATCTATCTTTAGATCCAAACCTTGGTGAAACAAAACGAACAAGAACATCTTATTCTCGATATCAAACGTTGGAATTAGAAAAAGAATTTCATTTTAATCGGTATACATATCTTTCTTCTTCTTCTTCTTCTACTATAATGTTGTGTTATATTATTTTTTAGATATTTGAGTCGTCGTCGTCGAATTGAAATTGCTCATGCATTAGGTTTAACTGAGCGACAAATAAAAATATGGTTTCAAAATCGACGAATGAAATGGAAAAAAGAAAATAAATTGACAAGTTTAAATGATGTTAGTAAAAATGAAGATAAAGCGGCAATCATGGTTGTTAAAAAAGAAAAACACGATATTCGACAACACTCGACAATAAACAGTGCGACTAATAGTTCATCGTCTCTAACACAACAAAGCAGTGGATCATGCGGAAGATCATCGCCAAATTTGAATAAGCTATAAACAGCAATAATACAACACGTTTTCTAAACGAGTTTATATATCGGGAAAAGCACGTACATAAATATTTCTTTTTTTTGAAATGATTTTTCGATGGATGAAAGTTCACATTTCTAAGCGGCACACGTGCGAGACGACGAGGCCATTTGTTGATTGCAATACGAGCAGTGGTGTGTGGGTGTGAACGTTGAAATACTGCAACAACAAGAACATACTGCAACTAGTGTTTAACTTTTTGCTAGAATGTATGCAGCTCTCGTCAGGCCATAATTTTCAATTACAAAGAAAAACAAGTCATTTTGAATGAACACAGACTAGTTCAAACTGAGGGTCTAGATTTTAGGAATAATGAACAGCATCCTTTTAATGTTTTAAAGATTATTTAAAAAGATTATCCTGTCGACTAATTTAAATCATTGAATTTAGTCGTACCCCCGCCAAGTATACATTTAATAAACGACAAAGAAACGTGCAAGAACGCTCACGTTGTCGTCAAGTAAAAATGTGAATAAACACACTAGAAAGCAAAGTGTTGCATTTTTGTGTCGCAGTGGAATACGTTGCATTTCTTTCTACAAGGAAATCGGATCCAAAAGCTTTTCCATCTTCATGTGTTGCGATTGTCAAGGCTTATTTCCGAATCTAGTATGAGAATTAGCGAGTAGAGAAGGATGTCGCTCTCTACTTTGTAGAGTACGAAGATATTTTCAATACTTTTGGTGTATGTTTCACTCACTTTTAAGACAGTGTAGATGTCGTCATAGCCGGCTGCATATTTAATATAACTGATTTTGAATCAATCTGAATGCTTTCTGATGGTTAGAATATGGAGCTGTTAAACTTGATCTTTTTGTGAGAGTAGAATAGCACTAGACTTAGCGCATCAACATTATCAGATGAGATTAAAATTGAGATGTGTGGACGAAGTGTCTAAAGAAAAATTGATGAATCGCAATTTTTAAGCGTAAAACTGGAGCCAGGGGCCAGTTTCATCAAAAAACTTAAGTACGATTTTCGACTTAAGTCAGACTTAATATTTTGCTTAACTTAGGAGACCGAATAGGTACCCTATGTATGACTTAAGTCAAAAAATTGATCTTACCTAACTGAAAAACGTTATTTCCTTGTAAAAGTCTTTAAAAAAGCAAAAAGAAGCTTAATAGTGCAACTGCTTTTTCAAACAAGTTAATTCAGCGTCAAATCTAGAATAAGTGTGTGGAAAACAGATGGTGCATTTTTTACTGGGCAGTGAAGATGCAATGCCTTGATTGCTTCATTTTTGTTATGAAATCTGGTGAAACTCTTTCAACGCGAAAAAGTCAGTGTTTCAGCAACAATTGGAAGTAGCAGAAGCTATGAGTACACTTTCCTAAGCTGAAATTTATTTTTTACAGAGTGTATCCATGGAAAATTAAGGTGTATTCCTAAAATACATAATGCATATACACTTTACTCTCGCTTGGTGCGCTCGTTCTTGAAATAGTGTACAAAACTTCGAACATTATGCTCAAATTGCTTAAACTTATAGAAGTATGAGTTTCTATGGATGAACCTGTGTGTCATGATTGAAAAAAATTAGACTGCGTATGTCCTTTAGTTTTTTACTTCCTTTACTCCATTTACTACGTTTAGTTATAAAGTAAGAATGAGGGTAATAGTTCTGATATGCATGAAATAGAAAAGTAAAAGGTAGTAAAGGTGTTCATAGCAACAAATACTTTCAAGTACACCATTAACTAGTGCGTGAAAAACTGAACAAAGGTAGGGGTTTGCGAGATTTCAAAAATGAATGTGGAAAAATCGAAAAAACTCAAAACCGTTTGAAACTCGAAAAATGACCGAGTATTCGAAAAATTCAAATTTCGATCAAGTTTTGTACTTTTTTAGTTTCTATAGTATTTTCCTCCCACTATATTCACTGAAGTGTCGGCTTCAAAAGTATAACTTCAAATTTTGTTCGTTGCCGACAAAATTCATTTTTTCTAAATTAGAGGCGAAAAGGTCAAAATTCTGCCTGTAATTCTCAAATTTCTCCATCAGAACTTAACTTCCATGTAATAAAAACATATCACCGACAATAATTAAAGTTCATTTAGAGTTAAAGAAAAGTGCTTTTTCATATTCAGCACACTTGATAACCTGGAAAATTTTCTATTTTTAGCGAGAGATACCGCCAAAAAGTTAAGAAAAATTTTCAAAATTGTATATTTTACCATGGAGATTTTTCTGCGTCAATTTGTTTGAAAATTTTTCTTAACTTTTTGGCGATATCTCTCGCTAAAAATAGAAAATTTTCCAGGTTATCAAGTGTGCTGAATACAAAAAAGCACTCTCCTTTAACTCTAAACAAACTTTAATTTTTTTTATCGGTGATATGTATCATATTCGGAATCAGGATCAAAAGACAAATCGACTGATGTGTACCTCTATCCTATCCGAGTACTTTAATTTTTTTCGAATTTTCACGTTGAAAAATTACCGAGATTTTCATCAAAAAATGAAAATGAACTAAAAATTTCAATATACACACCAGCCTATTTGTCCAGAAAAGGCTTTCAAAAACCCTGTTACATTCATTTCTGAAATCTCGCAAACCTCTACCTTTGTTCAGTTTTTCACGGACTAGTTAATCGTGTACTTGAAAGTATCTGTTGCTGTGAAAAAATGAGAAACGTCGCTGAAACATTCTCTACACGATACAGTTATTGTTGAAAAAATTTTCAACTTAAAAGTAATATCAAGAAAAATTTTTATTGAAAAAGGAGCTTCCAAAAACGATGGTTTTCTGGAAGTCCTAATTCCCGTTTTTTTCAAACCGTTTCAACATCATCCACTAGAAAAGCCATGGTTTGAAACCTCTGAGCGCCAGGTTTCATTAATTTTGCTTTAGTCATTCTGATAGTTTTTCTCCGGAAAAGTAGGAGGAAGACAGTGGGAAGAAAGTGCGTATTCCTCTCTTTACGTTAATAATTATTATCTACAGAAAAAAATGGTTCTAATAAGTAGTTTTGACTTAATTGGAAAATTATAAAATACGCGACACCACAAAAGCTGAACAAAAACTATATATATTGACATTCTTTGACCTTTTTACGTTTCTTATAAAACGAAGTATATTTAATATAGTTGCAAAACATTTTTGTAAAATCATTTTACATAAAAAGCGAGCTTTCGATACTTCACAGTGTCATCATCAGGCTAATATGACTGTGAATTTAGAAGAGAGATGATTATATATACTAGTTGAAACAGGGAAAACTATATATTGGATGATAGATCTTGACGCACTGAATTCAATAATACGCAGACATATGTGCTTTATTTACTCTAAACTTAAGTATACTTATGCAGATTTAACACAAAGATGTTACAATACTGCGTGTCATCACGTTTACCATAACCTTGTAGTCTTATACAAGGTCAATTTTCTCACTGTATATTATAAAACACGTAAAATTTTAGGATTTTGTTAGTTTACTGCAAAAGAAGAAATGAACAATAACTGTATATTCAAGTCTAATCGATTTTATGCAAAGAGATCGAGAGAGAAATGACTATAAAGTTCTAGAATTTGAGATTCGACAATAATCAAGAAGAAAAAGAAGTGATCAATAATTAAGAAATGAACATTTTTATTCATAAGTTATGAACTAACTCATATTGCACTGGTTATATATTACTATATAACAATTTTGTCAAATAACTATTCTAGTTCTAAATAACCTTGCTCAACTCAAGTCGCTCTTCCAACATTTATCTTGTTTAGCATATAAAAATGAGTTTTTCGTTGATTCTAACTATTATCGTTATTGGATAAAGTCCCAGGTCCAAGAAAACGGCACCGTTAACGTACCATAAACGCCCCGTTCTCAGAACCTAAAACTCGTAAAATTTTAGGGTCTTAAATAGATCGTTTTGTAAACTGTTTCTTAATATTTTATGGCCGTTTATTGTCGTTTTGAGAAGGTTAACGGGCCGTTTTTTGACCTGGGCTATTACATTAACTCCTAAAATATTTTTGTCCGACTTCGTCATACTGACTTTTACTCTTTATTGAATTTACCCTTTCTCACTAATCGACCTAATCTAGGTACTAGACTATACACATCATCTAACGGCACTACAGAATCCAAAAATAGTTTTGAGGAGTTTTCTAGAAATTCGACCTCTAGAAAACGCGGTTTTGAACGTCAGAATTATTCCATTAAAAAGCGCACCCACGAAGAGAGACCACAGAGACTGCCGTATTTTTTTTTCTTTTGTCAGCGATCGCTCTCTCTGTAGTTGAGGGGCAGAGTGTAAAAGAAGATTCCTTTTCATACAGCGAAAAAGGAAAAAGGGCTGCGATTTGTATTAAATGTTTATGAAATCTACTAGAAGACGAAGAAAAAGAACTGCTAGTGTAGAGAGTGTTATAGGAAGAGTGAGGTATAATTTCAATGAAAACAGGTGATATTAATTTCTGGTTTTTTGAAGGTGAGAATGTTTTTTTGGTCTTTTATCGAACACATAGTTAATGTTGTCTGAAAAGCGAGGAAATACTCACCATCTCTAGAATATATATAAGGAGCTTATGTATAGCCATTGTGATGCTTATTAGACTTCTCATTCTAAGACTATTTTTAAAAAAACGGGCATTTATTATATCAGGGAGGAGAAGAAATCACGACAAATGTGAGTAGTATTAACTTGTTGCCCTGTGAACTGTTTTAGAAAACAAAAAGCGAGACAAGAAGATCTTTGGACCTTTCGATAGTTGCACATGTTTTTAAAATGTCTTTAAATCAAAATAAATCAAATTCTAGCGGTGTCTGTAATTTTAATCACATTAAGAGTGCCAAAGAACAGTACCATTCGAACTGTAGACTTGTAAATAAGGAGCGGCCGTTTGAAACATCAACTGTGCACCTGTCGGCGAGCCATTTGTTCCTGTTGCCCAAACGTCATAATCTTGATCACCATAAATCACCAGATTTCCATCTCCTTGAAATGAGAGTCTACAAGCGGAAGTCTTGCAGGTTGTACCTTTGGTGACCGAAGTACTCCACAACAGCTTTCCTGTACTGCTACTAATGGCACCACTGTATACAGCCAGATTTCCGTTCGTCAACAGGATAAGATAAACAGAAGTGCTGACTGAGAACATTTAACGAACAAATTGGTCACTGTTGAGGTGAAATGAAGGATAGAAGTCGTAGGAAGAGACCCAGACAATGTTGTTGTTACCATCGGACAGCGTAAGATAAGCACCCATATCGGACACACGCAAGGAACTGGATCCTAAAGTGCCCGAGTATGAAGGCGGCCATGAAGCCAATTTTGTTGTCTTCTTGTAGATGACGAGCTGCTCGGTTGTGGTGAACGTGAGTCTGCATTGACTGTTAGTGCATTACCAGATGTCTTCGACGCCCATTTGACCCTGCCGGCTTGGTACAGAACTATATTTCCGTCGTTCTTCAGGATGAGGTAAACATTTTGCAAATCGATTTTCCGGTCCGAATACGGTTTAGCCAAAAAAAAGTAAAAGTTATTTAATTTTGCCAAAAAGAGAAGATTAGACTAACACATATATTTATTTGAATGTAGATGGAGTCGACCTGCTACGAATAAGATTCTAACAGAATTTTCAAGGCTATCAAACCTCTCCTTTCCTCCGTTCGAGCATTTTCTCCTCTGCAGCAGAAAAACCTTGTCCGTGACCGCTTCTTGGTCTTTCTATGCTGTTTTCTTTTTTTCATGACTTTTGCCACGTCGAGTAAAAACGTCCGTGCACATTGAAGCGATCTGTTCTCAAGTGCTTCAGCTACCTTCATTGAGAGAGATTGCAGCTAAATATGTTTTGCCCTAACTCGTAGAATTTTTCTTCACTTTGACCAAGACGATAAGATCTCAAAAGGGTTGCAAAAATTTCATCTGTATTCTGGAACAACATCTGAGAAGGTTGCATACCAGAGGAGTACTTGACTAATTTCATTCAGTTCCGTGGAACTACTGAAAAAGATGAATACTTCTGTTGGATCTTTATTTTTGTTCGTTAAACGCTTTTGTTTTTTCTTTGTTTTATCTAGTTAGTTACTTTTGATATTAACGTATTTGAATACTATACAATGGTTTTCAAATGATAACGGAGAGATAAAATTATTTATTTATCGTGTTAAAATTTACTCTTTTTTGGAAGAAGAAACTATAAACAAACTCACGGATCAGTAACTTTGTCATTTGCAGTGCTGTAGTCAAAAGGAAGCAGAATTTTGACATTCACAATTTGGTTTATTAGTGATATTTAACTTGTTGGCCAAAATAATCGTAACGAAATCATGTTTTTTCCGCTTGTAACTGTAATTTTTTAGTCAGTTTAAAAGATAAGAAGCTTACGTTCTTACCAAATTTGTCATACGCTCAACAATCGCTGAGAGTTCGATTAAATTTGAATGTATGGCTCGAGTTTTCTAAGAAAAATATCAACCCTCATGGAATCACCAAAAATGCAACAGTGGTTCCGAAGCAATTTAACATTATCAAAAACTCAGTTAATCTTCGTTCTTTATGTGAAAACTTTTGCTGGAAATGTGTAAAAGTTCATGGGCTATCGATTCGAAAAAAGACTTTTGTTGTAGCTCCAAAATTAATGCCTAAATAGTTAAAATATCATTGTTACAGAAGTACGCGCATTTTACAAATAATTGTTTTCGCAGTTTGGTTTTTTTTCTCTCAAGAATGAGTGAGAGTTAAATTAAAATGACATCCTGATCTCAAAATATTTTTCTATTTAATCATGCGCTCAAAATCTAAAAACTATTGGAGAACAAATAAGAGAAAAATTTAAATACAAACAACTTCTTTTCAAAACGTAGACCGTTACGTGGAATAGCCCTTAGCACACTTGTCATTTACGAAAAATGATTTAATTTATTTTAAACTACTAGTAATTAACTTTATTTCATCACCATGGTAGTAACTGAGACATGCTCTGTCATTAAACTCATAAAATATATCCATAAATTCTTTTTTACGTATATTTAACGCTTTACATGTGAAATATGAGAAAATTATGTTTTGGACATGAAGTATTTGTTTTCGGAACGACTCGTATCCAAATAAATATTTTTATAATTTCAAGTATGATTAATTAAACCGAATTCATGAGTCTATTTTACTTGTATGCAAACAATGCAGCAAATAAATGGCACAATGATGTTCATCACAACAACATCTCGCTTGTTTTTTGCAAATTTCACCGTTGTTTGCCCAACTGTTACCATTTGGTTGTCTGATATAATGTGATATCTAAAAAGGATCATAAGATCCACAGCATCCTTAAAAACATACCGATGAATAGGTTTTTTTCACAAATTTAATTTAAAATTTTGATATATTGTTTTGCTCGTTGACTGAATCAAATTTTTTCTATTGTTAAAACTTTACTGGCATAATTTTCGAACCATAGTAGAGTGTATAAAGAATATTATACTTATTTTATAACAAAAATTTCTATTTGTTTTGTACAAAACTTGTATAAAAGTAAATGCAAATGAACTGTTTCCAAATATATTGAAAAAACTGTGACGATAAAATATATTTGAAAGAAAAATGTTTGAATTTTTGATAGATATTTTTATTTTAATATAATGTATAAAAGGGTTATAGTTTTTAACAATTAACAATAAAATAAATAATAAAAGCATATATATAAAAGAGAGCAGATGTATTCACATTCAAATATAAATGTCAAATATACACACAGCTAACATACGAAAGACAAAAAATGTATTTGGAAAGAGAGAGAAAGAGAGATTCACTTGTGTCAGAATATTAAAATAATAAATTAATATGAACGAAAAATTACTTTATACACATATTGCTGTAAAAATATATATATTTATGACTTTTTATAATCTATTTCTAATTGTCGATGTGAAAAAAAGCTTATCGTGTTGAAGAAAACCAATGCTAAATTGAATAATAAAAAAAAATTTATAATATTAAACAAGAAAAAATTCAATTTTGTACTTACGGATTGACGAACTTTTTCATGTTCAAGAATCAATTGTTTTTCATCATCTGTGTATCTTAAAACGGCACAAATTACTTTGGCCATTGTCTAAAATTCAAAACAAGAATAATATAAATAATGAATCAAATTTTTTTAGTAATACATAATCAATATCATCATAAAATGAGAAGACAACTTACAACTGGATCTGTGCCGGTCATGTATGCAAGAACTATTTGTTTGAGATAATCGACTTCTGTTGCTTCAAACATAAATGAATGAAGACTGTCATTTGATCCATAACGTACAGGACTTGTTTTAGCTAAATATATATATATATATATTGACAATCGTTTAAAATAAACATTTTATCCACTTAATTACCTCCTGACCATCGTGAATCGGACGCATTTTTTACATTAGAAGATAAACGAGATGAAACAGAATGTTGATCAAATTGAGCCTGAATAAAATTAACAATATTGAATTAAAATTATAATATAGTTAAGAAAAAAATTAATTTAAACGACTGACCGATGTTAAAACATGTCTGTCAAATGAATCTTCTTTATATGGAGTTGATTGATCATTGGATGATCTATTAAATAATTTATTTCATGTTAATCAATAAATATATGTATTTCAAAACTTACTTTTCAATATTACTTAATTCATGAATATTTTTTTGATGTTCATCACTGTTCGTTATAGATTTAGATTCGGCCGCAGCCAGAATTAGTTCTTCTTGTTTTTGTGTTAATTCAACAATTTTTGATTCAAGTTCAGCTAAAGCATTATGATATTCTAATTGTCGTTCCTTGAATAAAAATAAATTAAAAATACATATATTGAAAAAGAATATTTATGATTATAAATAATTACTAGATAAAAATCGATTGTTCGTACCTGTAATGTATCATGTAATTTTTGCACTTCTTGTTCGGCGACAAGTGCGCGTTTATCAGAATCATTTATTCGTTTTTCACTATCATCTTTTAAATTGTTTTCATTTCTATAACTTTTTTCTATAAATAAAAATTTTATTAATAATCAAAATTCAACTTTTAATCAATTCTCATTACCAATAAATTCATTTAGTTGTTGATTATATATTCGTTCTTTCTCCTCTATTTGATTATTCATTTCTTTTGTCACTGCTTTTAGTTTTGCATTATATTCTTGTTCTTGTTCCAATAATTTTTCTTCATATTCATTCGATAATTTTTTTAAATTATTTTCTAAAATAAATAATAAATATCAATTAATTATAAATGAAATGTAGAATAATTTTTACCCATTTCTTTTGTTTGTACTTGATCATTAGTTGTCATAGATTCTTTCATTTTATGTAATACTTTTCTTAATTTTGCAGCACTTTCTTGTTGTTGTTGTAATGTTAATTCTAACTCAGATTTTTTTTCATCTTTCTGGAATAGTTGACGTTCTATTTCATTTTTATCATTTTCAAATTCAGTTTGTTGATTTTCCAGTTCATGTATACGACTTTCATGTTGTTCATTTTTTGCTTTCAATGTCATAATTTCATGTTCATATTCATCGATTAGCTTTGATTTAGTTTCGATTTCTGAACCAGATGTGTTTAATTGATGCTAAATAAAAATATAAAATAATTTTTATCAATAAAACTCCCAATGCCATACTGAGCTATCGAGCATCGATGTAAGATGAGAAGCGTAGGAGATTCTGAGAGAGGCGAAGACAAAATGAGAAGCAACATTTATCGTTTTCTGGTCAAACTAATTTGACATAAAAAGCAGCTAATGGTACTATACCAAAAATTATCAACTATACTGTTCCCAATGAGACATGTGCGGTGCATTCACTAGCACATCTACATGCTATTTTGATGAAAAAGCAAGGTTAATCCATAGGAACATCTTATAGGTTATGAAGCATTATGAACTTGCCAAAAAAAAAATATCAAAGACTTTTATAGGCAGCTGGAAACCATACAAAGGAGTTTGCTCTATTCAGTCATATATTTTTTGCAAAAAAACAAATCAATCTTTTTTTATCATAATCGATGTTTCTGACGTAGAGGAAGAGGATTTACAATTATAAAAGGGTTACTTATTTCAGTTTACTGGAATGATAACCTCTAACATGTCACTACCTGTAGATCTTCAACATCTTGTCCGTTGAATTCTAATGTTTGTTTCAATTTCATTTCGTCTTCTTCTCGGTTTGTGTTCAATACGGTTTCACTTGTTTCTAACTGACGTTGTATTCTATCTAATTCATTTTCTACTCGTATTTTATCTGCTAATGTTGTATTTAACTGCTGTTTTAATTCTTCATATTCTTCAAATAGTTGTTTATTATCGGTTCTTAACTGTTTAATTTCATTTTCTAATACATCGTTTTTAGTTTGAACATCGCTAAAATATTCATTCTCCTTTGTTACTCTTTCTAATTCCATCGATAATTGTTCATTTTTTGTTTTAGTTTGCTGACTTTCATTCTGTAATTTGGTTTGTTCGCTTCTCAAATCACCGATAATATTTTCATACTGTTGAATATAATTGGTCTTTTTCGTTAGTTCATCAGCTGTTTGTTTATGAACAACTAAAAGTTTTTCTTTTTCACTATTATCGTTATCCAAAACCATTTCTCGATGTTTCAAAATCTCAATTTCACTCTGTAATTTATCGGTTTGATCTGATTTATCCAAAAGATCTTGCCTTAATTGATCAATTTCTTTATTTTTGTTGTCTATAGTTAGTTTTAACGTATTTATATCATTTTTATATGTTTCAATATGTTCGGTTAACTCTAGAATATTTTTCTCCTTCACATTTCTTTTGTTTTCTAGTGTTTCGACTATTGTGTGATATCTCTTGATTTCTTCTGAATTCATATTCAATTGAACTTTTAATTCATCTATTTCCAATTTATATTCTTTTTCTTGATTCTTCAACGATTCGATTTCATTATTTTTATTTGTTAGATTTCTTTGCAATATATCGTAATCATCTTTCTTTACCTCTTCTTGTTCAATTAAGACAAGCTGATTTTTTAACATACGAATATCATTATCATATTGACTTTTCAACAAACCAATCTTGTTCTGGACAGAATTTTGGTTTTCTTTTACTGTTTCAACTTGCCTCTTAAAATCATTCATTATCTTTTCATCTGCTTCTTCTTCCCTTTCGATTTCTTGATCTTGTTTAATCGATTCATTTGCAGGATTCTCTACTTTATCATAAAGGGTATTGATCTCCAATAGAGCTTCCTTTAAAGACCATAACTGATCAGTCAGACGTTCTTTTCTCTCAATTATTCGATCAATATCGAGTTGTTGATTGGAAATTGTTGTCTTAAAATTGTTCTCACGCAACAAATAGTCTTTCTCTAGATTTTCAATCTTTTCTTCTAATGATGTGGAGCGAGATTGTTCTTCTGTTAATTGTTCAA